AATAAGAACTCGATGAAAAAAATAGAGAAATATTTACACTATCCCGGAAACTAAAAATTAGCTCAAATAGACATTGTGAAGAGGAGTTATGAAGTTTGTTTTTTTAAAGATAAAACTTGGTGATCGAATTGGAGTTGAGCATTCTATAAATTATTTTGTGAGATAGAGAACGCTAATCACAACTAAACATTCAAAGTTGATTACTACACAAAAACGTATCAAATAGACATTTTTAAATTCATCGCTATCTATAGTCATTTAATAATTTATAAAGAATACAAAAATAAAGATTATTTATCTATAGTATTATCCAGATATCTTCATGAATTTAAATCACAATCGACTTATAACAAGCATTGTTAATTGCTTGTGTTTCATCGTATTTTACAGGTAATCTGAAAACTTGTATTTTAATACAGAAGATAGACGACGTGCTAACACTACAAGTGGTAGCAATTACTTCACCTAAAAAGCTTTGGGAAAGCAATTGGCCCTTAGTGCTTCCACTACCTACGTCCACTTTATCGATATTTATAAATAGTAGTATATATATTTAAGGTTAAATTTACTACTCATATGAATCTAAGTGGCGTGCTAACAAAGTATCATGTAGAATTGTTTTTACTGAAAAATTTGCCTTGCATCACTCATAATATAGAACTTTTCATCTAAATTTAGAAAATGAAATGTCAACGAATCTCTATTAACATACTTAAACAAATAATCAATGTCACTCAATAAGTTGACATTTTAAAATGACAAGTCATTTTTCTTTTGATTTCTTAAAGTTAACATTGAATAGAATCGTAGAAATGACTCATCATAGCAAAAAATAAAGAATAAACTAGATCAACCGTTAAAATAGTTTCTTTCTATTGTTTGTTATACTATGTCATGTTTCTTTATTAAATAACTTCAATCTATTTTTTTATATACAAGTGCGTAAATGTTTTTTTGCTAAATATTTTGTAGAAAAAACAAACATGAGTTATAGAATCAATACTCACGTCTTTTTCTATGAGTAAACCTATAGAGAAAAATTCACATGAGCACTTATCAAGGTCCCTGAATAGTATTCATCAATATAAATTTGCTCTAGTGCCCACGCGTGTAATTTGAATACTCATACTAGTAAATCGTATTCATTTGATGAGTATATTCGCTAGAGTGTACAAATAAGAATATTCTTCTATATAACAATTAACCAAATTTGAGTATTAGTTACTTATTGTAACACCACAAATATTCAACTTGTCAAAGCGATCGAAGATCAACTTTAGCAATACTTAGACCTTAACAAGTTATGTCCACCAAAAATTCATATTGCAGGAGAGTTGTCAAACAATCCTCTACTTCATAAAGGGCATCAAATCGACTCTGCACACATTTATCAACATCTTCTGATACTGATAATCTACCTTCTGATACGAATAAATGTCATATATAAATCATTTTATATAGTTTTTTTTTGCATAAACATATGAAACGGATCTAACGTTGTTTAAGCATGCTTACTAACATCCATAAGAGACTATGTAACTCAGTTTTCGCTATATTTAAAATAATTTTTTGGATTTTTTTTATTTTGAAAACACTTAAAAACAGGCGAAGCAAATGTAAAAGTCCGAAATCAGTATGAAATAAGAAAAAGAAATACATAGAAAAATTCATTAACACTAGGAAACATTATCTGGTTGGGCCAGTAACAGTTCTGAATACATGCAATTCATCTTTTGACAATCAATTCCAAATAGTTTTCAACGAATTCTACCTCAAAAAATATTTCTTACAAAAAGCGTGTGAGACTATGATAGATCAATTTGATGCTGTTTCTTCCATGAAGAATTATTTAGCGACTTCTATTATATGAATGTTAGTGAGAAAAACTCATCAAGGTTTGTATATCATGAGCAGTCGTTTTTTAGGTTAATTTGACACGTTGAATGTCTGTAATTTTAACATAAATTAATCAATATAAAAAGTATTTGAAATTTTTGATGCAATACACTATTTGTTGTATGCTATCAAACGTAGTATGAATCACATATAGAAGAAAATATTTTTGAAAGTAAATACAATCAAATGTATTTTCTATCATATATCAAATAAATTGATAGAATTCATATTCTGTAAATTTTTTTCTTTCTCATATAGAAAACTTAGACTTGTGATAAAAACAATATTTTCATACGTATGAACAGTGAATGTACACTTTTTTTTTTTCATAGATAATTATGTTAATTCTCGACTTATTATGTTTCTCAAAGTTATGAATAGTTGATGTTATTACGCAGTCTAGTGTAGACAGTGAATTTATTGTAGTGAAAAGTCATTATTAGTCTGACATTTTACTTTTTCAGCCAATGAAAAATTCTAATTTCAATTTGACAGTTGAAAAGTTTATCGAAGTAGAAAATTTTGAAAGCGTAATGATTATACATGCCTCGCCTCATTTGACAATTAAAGCATCATTCAGTTTATTATAACAGAAAAAAAAAATAAAAATTTTTTTTTTAACAACTACTGTTCAGCATATAGGCTTGCATTTTTAACTTTCCTCTCGTCATGTTGTCAAAAGCCATTGATTGAATCGAAAGTTTTTCTTAAAGATATTTTGAATTGGAACTATATAAAAATTGTATATTATTATTTGATGAAAGACTGATGTTTATGAAGTAAAAATAAGAATATAAAGGTCTACACTATTCTGTCATTAATAATAATTATTATTTTTTATCAAAAATAGAATAACATTTGCATGTAAATGTCATTAAAGATTTATTATAACAATCTAGAATTTCTATAGTTCATTCGTTTGAAATATATCATTCATAATATTTAAAGACAGTTGATCAATTTAAACAGACAAGACTTAATTTGTAAGTTTCTTGGTTTTTTTTTTGTTTGAAATATTTATTTTACGTTCATAATAAGATTTATTCAACTAATTGAATTTTGATTTTTCAACGTCGTAAATATGAATTTTAACATAGTTAGTTTATATTGTATTACTGAAGATATATCATATACAGGAAGTTTCTTAGATCAAAAAGAATAGAACAATTGAAGTTGATTATATTTCGAGATGAATTACTATTTAAAAATAAGCTAAAATTTAGATTTAAAAATAAATCGACAAACTCTTTTACCTTTCAAATTTAAAAGAAAAAAAAACATGAAAAGCCGATTGGCCGTTTTTTCTTAATAGGATACATCGACGCTCCGGTTGATCTTCTGTTTCCGTTATTTCATACGCTTATTAAGGAAGTAGAAGATTCCATGTATAAACTCAATAAAAATTATGAAAAAAAAATATTAAAAATGGTAAAGTAAGATTCTTTTCTATTGTAATTTATATAACAGTTAAAAGAAATGTACTTCTATTGACGTTTTCTTGCTTTTCGTTTTCTTTTACGGAAGTTGATTATTACTAACACTAGTTGACTGTAAATCAACATACCCAGAAGTGTCAAAGGAAAAATGACATATTTCAATCCTTATTAATGTGTATTTTTTATGAATCAAATGAGATTTTTTGATATTAAAGAAAAGAATTTTTCTACTGACTATTATTTGTTTATGAATTGAAACATTTCCAAATTATTTTTCTTTTTTTATAAAATTCATAAAAATTGATATATAAAAAGTTATGCGAATAAAAAAAGAACAAGCATGTCTGTCAAATAGTTGTCTTAAAATAAAGAAGATTAAAATCATTGATTGTAATATAGAAGTGTTCTTATTTGCATCATATTTTTTATAAAGGATATAAGCCAATTATTATCATCCTTTGGAATAATCTTTTTTTCCCAGGAAAGTACAATACATCCAATCTACATTTCTGATTAATTTTTGAAATACTATAAGAGACACTAGTAAATCAATCGATGTCTTTTTTGTTTTGTTTTGTTTTATTCGATATATGCTATAAATATATGTTTTTTTTGTTAACTAGAATTCTATTGAAAATTATGTTAAATAAACAGATGATTTAATTTGATAAGTGATTATCTATTAATGGAGTAGTATTCATTTTGAAAAACTTATGTAAATCGAGTATGTATTAGAATATTTCTATTGTTTTGAATAGTATTGATATGATTTCAGGCATATAATAACTGAATTCAAAGACATATCATAGATTATTCTTTATTTCATCACTAATTTGCATTGAGTTTTGTTAAAAAAACAAGTCATCCAACGTTTCATCGTGTACTATATATATATATCTATATTATTTTTCAATGATAAAAAATTATGGAAGGCAATTGACCTTATTGAAAGATAGAGATATCTAGGGTCGGATAAAATTAAGATATAGGTTTGGTAGGATAGAGTAAGGAAATTTTTCTTATACAAAGGCACAGGCTACAAGAAAAACTATAGTCTGTGGATAACAATTGAAAAATAAGAAAAACATCCCTACTATCCACGTAATCTGGTATCAAGAACAATGAATTATCATTTACTCAGTAAAATAAATACTCATCACTATACTGCATAAATTTATTTATCGTTTTCTTTGTCTATGAGATGAACGAGCTTATTTTATTACTTGACTTCCTTTCTATTCTTTCCTATATAAGTATTATCTCATATATTCCTTTTGATGAGTACGAATAATAATAGTTATATCGGAAATTTTAATAAAGACATGTCATGAACGTCGAAAATATGATAAACATAGAATTGTGAATCAATCAAGTCTATATTGTATTTCGTTCAGTTGAAAATAAATATATATTCAGAAGTAAGACAAGAAAAGCATTGCCATATGATGAATGTTGAGTAGAATGTGCATAATGAAAAGAAAAACCCATCGTTGTCGCATCTATAACGTGTAGTTCTCTTATTCTCTATTTTTCTTCTTCTTTTTTTTTTTTTGTTTACAATTAAGAAGAAGCTACGAGAAAAAAAAAAGAAGATTTTCACTTTATTTTAGATAAATTATTAAAAATGAATGGATGAACATAATTTATTATTCTATATACAAAACAGTAATGACAAATTTAACTTCATTTGATTCTTTACTACCTGAATTTGAATCTTTACCACGTTGGTTACTTATTCCATTTGTAATAATATCAATAATTGAAAGTATTATTGGTGTTATTGGAAATATTCTTGTTATACTTATTTTATTATTTTTTGGTAAATCAAATACACTTCAAGCATTACATAATTGTTTTATTATTAATTTAGCCTTAAGTGATTTTGTTTTATGTTTATTTACAATGCCTTTAAATACTTATCGAAGTTTATATATTTATATGGCATTTCCACCAGCATTTTGTAAATTAGCAGATAGTTTTCCAGCTATAAATATATGTGTATCATCATTAACTATTGTTACAATATCAATATATCGTTATTTATTAGTTTATTATCCACATAAACAATCAATTGGAACACTTTCAACATGTATTATTATGATTTCTATATGGTTGTTAGCTATTTGTGCAGCTAGTCCACTTTTTATTTATTCTCGTTCAATACCAGCTTATGATGAATCTTTAATTGATACATTAGTTAAAGATATTTGTACTGAATCATTAGATAATTCATGTGAAACAAAATATTCAATAGCATATAAACGTTTACATGTTTGTCATGAATCATGGCCTAAACAAAGTGAATTACATCTTTTATATACAATATTTATGCTTTTTCTTCAATTTATTCTTCCAATTTTTATTATTTGTATTACTTATTATCAAATTATGGTTAAATTAAGAGAACGTAAATAACAAAAAGAAAAGAAATTATTTTTTCCGATAACTTGATTCTAACTAAAGATAATTACTTCATAGAATAAGATTCTTTTAATCAAAATATGTTGATGAATTCATTTAGTAATGACGTATTAAATAATATATCAAGAAGTAATTTCCTAGAATTTTCTATTAAAAAAAAAAAACTAAAAACACAGAATGAGACGACTTTAATGTTTTCGAGAGCAGCGTCAAGATCCGATTAACATAATCGTTGTTTTGTTTTTTTTTCTTTAATTCACAGATTTAGGCATCTATTAAAACTTGATAAGCATCTTTAGTCTCATTTAGTAAATGAAATCAATATTAATATAGAACCCAGGAGTAGAAGTCAGTAGAAAAATCTTTCTACCGAAATATTTATAATATCTATAAATTTAATGAACAAGATTTTGTAAAGTGTTTCGATCTATTTATACTTTTTCAGGTTTCAATTATTAGATATAAAGATTTATTTAATTATTCATAAATGTGTATGAGATGCTTTTTTTTTTGCTACTTATATGAACTAAACTATTCATTAAAAAATAAATAAGATATTTACTAGAAAAACCCTTGAATAAAAATAAATTATCCAGCATATTATCTATTAAAGAAAAAAAAAATGAGCTTTCAAGTAAAAATAGACTTCAACAAGATACTTGCCTTTTTTTAATTAAGTTAACTTTTTATTACAAAGATAAAAGCCTCATGTTTCTCATTATCACGCAAGATGTATTTATAAAAATAGAATAACATAAGAAGACTATTTTTTTTTATCAATGTAATAATCGATTTTACATTGAATTACAAATCGAACTGTTTATAGAAGAAGAATAGAGAGAGAGAGAGAAAGCGAGTACTTAAGAATTTCAACAATTGAACAAAGTATTTATAAAAACAAAAATGATTTTGTTAATTTTATAGGTTTTCGATTTCGTTTTCTCATGAAACGTCATAATATTGCTTCATTACGTCATGAAATTCGTCGACAACGTCGAAATAATGTACTTCTTTTACTTATTGTATCATTATATGCAATTAGTTGGTTACCATTTAATATTTCATATATTTTATTTACATATGCTAATCGATTTCATGTAGCAGGTTATTTAATTACAAATTCAATAAAATAACAAAATTTTTTGTTTTATTTTTTTATTTTTGTTAGGCGATATTCATTCTCTTTCGGATCAAAAATCTAATGAATTATCAAAATATTTTCCATTACGTTTTCTTATATGTATGATATCAGCAATAACAAATCCATTTCTTTATAGTTATTTTAATGAAACATTTAAAGATGGTTTACAAAAACTTTTTTCATCATGTTGTCCACGAATAAATAGAGAAATAAATCAAATTTCTTTTGATACAACTATATGTTCAACAAATCAAATAAACTTAGACAAAATTAGTCTTCATAATAGACAATCAAATTTATTGTACAATCAACCATTAAAAATATTTAATGGAAATCTAAAACATAATTCATCAGTTTCTCGACTAACTAATGATCAATCAACAAAACTAACTATTTTAAGTTCAACTAATTTTCCTACATCGATTTCATCTGCTATGTAAAAAATTGAAAAAATTTATTTTATCATTCGAAAGAAAAAATTCTCTATCGTTATACTATCATTATGTTATAAACAATTTTTGCCATATGATACTCAAAGAGCATTTGTTAATAAAGAACAAAAAAGATGTTTTTTTTTTTTAGACTTTAATGTCTATTTCAAACTGTGTTGTTTTCATCATTTATTAATTAATTTTTTTCTTTGTTGTATTAAATAAATAAAATATCTTATTAGAATCTTTATTATTATACTCTTTTACTATTTTTCGGTTTATATATATATGTTACATAAGTCATTCTCATCTATTGTTTAAGACTAACATTGATTCATGACATAGAAATGTCAGACATGTCATTTGCCTCTTTACTTATTATAAAAGTTCAATTATACAAAAGAATAAAGTCATGAAAAACGAGTAAGAATATAAGAAATGTAATACACAAGGTTGACTTCGTTTTTTTTTATTTTATATTAAATGAAAGCATCATTATGTGCAAACGATATTAAGTGATATCATTTGATGATATTTATTTTTTTGTAATGTAATAAACACAATATGTTATATTTTTATTTCAAGCTAAATAAATTTCTCTTTTTCTAGAGATTTATAACGTTAACTAGTATGTATTGATAAAAAGAAGTAAATAGTTAAGATATCGAGAAATGATTTGATTGAGATTTTTTTAGATCAAAACAGGAAGTTTATTGTCAATGTTGATAAGGAAAATTAAAATGTTTCAAATAAACGAATAGACATCTTGACATCTGTTCATTAGATCCACTGACGTATATTGTCTTTTTCAATGTCGAATTGAGGCCAAAAGATCTAATTATTCATTCGTCAATGAATTCTAGACAAAAAGAAATTGATATTATTTCTTTTACTAAATCTAAATTCTATTATGAAAAAGTAACAATTGATTCAAGTCTGCAAAAAAAAAATCTGTTTATTATCATATGAATGACAGCTGTGCATAATCAGAAGTTCAATATTTATTTTAAAAATAAATGACAGAAACATGAAGAAGGGAAATTAAATTTCTCTTCAAGTATTCTTGACTAATCACAGCTAAACCACATTTTTTCTTATGTCGAAGAATATCACACTTTTGATATGTATGTTCCGAAAAAAAAATAGTTACAGTGAATTTTTTCAACATGTCATCAACACAAAAAAAAAAACATTTTTCTTTTTTGAGCTCTATTAGATATTCCGATAGTGTTTAGAGCTCTCAATATGTTTTATACTGCATTTATTTGCTGAAAGAAATTAAAATATGATGAACACATGCTCAAATAGCAAGCATTAGAGAAACCGCATTTTCTTACGGTTTTTTGAACTCATTTTACAAATTGCTTATTCCTATAGGAATAGTTATTTAAATAGTAATTATATTCTAATAATGCAATAAATTTACTATTCGTCTGTATTGTGGAAACTTTTTGATTTGAGTAATTTCCTAACTAATATTTCAAATACTATTTAAGAAATCACATATTACAGTCCGAATTACATTTTATACATTGTTGAACTAATTTTTCTAAATGTTGTTAAAATTTTCTATGATATGATCTACATAGTCAATCATGTAAGATCACAGATTCTCAAACATATTGAGATCAAGATTGATATGCAAATAATTATCCTTATATATATTTAAGGATTAATAGATGGATGAACAAGTATAAAATTGAATTTTTTTTATTAAATATAAGATATGTATATTCAAATAAACTAAAGCATCCATTTTGAACATCTAAAGGTTATCCTTTATTGTCCATATTGACAGTACGGACTTGTATAAAACATTATACTAAGGAAGGTACTCATGATAAAAGTCTCGCGATTGATATTTCGCTTTCGAACTGATATTTTTCTCATATATATATTATTCAGAGTAATTGTAAAAAAGCTTAAAATTGTTCATGCTTATTATTTGTTAGTCGGAGTAACTCTGTTCGTATTTGTTTTCCGAGATAATAAATTTTTAGAATAGTTCCATTATTATGACCTGTTTCTTGTAAAAGTTCAGGAAAAGGAAATGTCTGTTTTGACTGAAAATTTTTTTAAACATAAGGAATGATTAATTCTGTTTGTGAATAGAATTCCAAATCAAAAATGCTCTTATATAGCTTTTATCATAGGTCTCTTATTCCACAATGAGTAAAGAGGTCATAATTTTCGACCAACAGCTCGTTATTTCTCTCGTCAAATTTACTTGTAAGAGCACAAAATGTAATTCCTGAAGATATGAAAAAAAAAATGGTTCTTCAACAGTATTTAAAATATTGGTCAGCATATTATACAAAAAAAAAACCAGAAGCTTTCAAAATATCAAATTTATATTGTGAAAACATATTTCTAAGGCGACGATTGATTTGAAAAGTAAACTGAAGAATTAATGAAAAAAAGAATCAGCCCTTAGGAATCTAACGATGAGTATGCCATCACTATACTCAAATAAATTTTCAATAAACAAATATAAATCGAAATATGATAATACGAGATGATGGAACATCTGACGTAATATTCAAATATATGTATATATATAGATTTTCAACAGTGTTATGTTGATGATATTATTTTAAAAAATTGACTGCATTTATTTTATTTCTCAAATTTTTTCTTTTTACACTTGAAGGTCAACCAAATATTTAATGAGTTTATTATTAAGCATGGTTTTATATTGCACGTAGACTTAAATAATCTATTATTCTGTTAATATATATATTACTATTGAATAAACGTTTGTTGCGTGACATTTTTATAAACCGATTTACATTATTATTATTTTTTTTTTAACCTTGAAGATATGAATCATTTTAATTAAGAAGAAAATTCTCTAATGCTTTTTGTTTAATTTACTAACTTCATTTTACTTTATAAATGATTGTTAAAATATTCACAGTAAGTAATTATATTCAAATATTTAAATGTTATATCTTTAAAATATGGATTTTAAATTTGTATTTTTTTTTTGGAATGTGAAAACTGTAATTTATTATATAAAACACAACAGGATAAAAGCAATTAAATTCGAATGTACAATCACACTTGGATATTTCTACATAATCACAACAGGATATTTTAGAAATTATAAAAACATATTCTCTAATAAATTATTTTATTTTTTAAATTAAATTATTTTTTTTTTTTCTTCTACTAACGCCATTTTTATGAGCACAGTTTGATAATATTATTATTCATGTTGTTTTCAAAGAACTATCAGTCTTATAAATCATTTTTTTTTTTATATGGATTAGGAAATTTTATTTCAAACAAGAAAGAAAAAAACGTAATCATACATAGACAAGGTCAAACTAAATTGAGTTTTTGTAATAATAGTTAAATATTGATCATAACAATCATTGAAAAGTCTTCAGTCTCAAAATCGTTTTTTTCTTGTCCTCTATACAGTCAATGAAGAAAGTGCATTATAAATTAAATCTGTTTTTTTTTTTTTTTTCTCTATCGAATATTTGACACAGATTAACATATTGTTAAAGTACATGCTATCTAATAATTTACTTTTATATTCTGCTTTTTTTGCTTTTAAAGTCTATTCCAATATTTCAAATGTTACTGCTATTCATCAGGTTCGATTTCAATTTCGAACATAAATACATTGTATAGTTGAGAAGCAATTAAAATGCTTTTTTTTTTTCGTTTATGTTTTTTTTTTAGACTCTACTTTCTGCTTTTTCAAATGTCGACAACATTATCATTAACTCTTCTATGTTGTTCTATAAAAGAAAAAAAGAATGAAGAGAAGAGAAATAGTCTGTGTATGGGTGTTGTTACAGTTTTAAAGAAAGGAGAGAAAGAAAAAACAGTCGGATGGAACGAGCCGGGCCATAAAAAAAGATAGAGAAAAAATTGAAAACACCATAACAATAATAACAGCGTCGTCTGACGTTTACGTGGTAAGATAAAAAAAAAATATAAAAGTAGAAAGAAGAAACTCTCGTTCATAAGTAAATATGATGCGGTTATTAGTAAAGAACAAAAGAAAAAAGATCTTATCGATTGTAGTATAATATAACAAAAATAAAAATTGCGTAGTTCAATCTATAACTGTTTTTATATTAGAAACAGTCATTATTTATATTAAAAACATTATTCTTTTATAAGAAATAGAGTGCTTTCTATATACTTACTTTTTTTTTGGAGAATAAATGGTAAGTTAAATAGACTGGTTTAAGTTTTTTTAATCGATTTAATCAATAGATTATCCTTTCAAATTATTATTCAAGTGTATTTCGTTTCTTTTTCTTAATGGAATTTTGAAGGTAAAAATGATTTTATTTGTTATGAAGTCTATTTATTTATTTCCATTAACTATAAACGATATACCAGTATTAAATCGTTTTTGCGGTTAACATCAAAAAGGCAACATTCTCTTATTCTTCATTTACTCTTTGTTTCTTTCTTTAAATGTATTAAATTTCGCTTTCCTATACAAACGATTACGAACGATAGACAGATTGCAATAAGAGAATTTCAGTATTGATGTTATTCAAATAGCAATTCGTATTTGTGCTTCAAGTCAGTTATTTCGGTTATTTTTCTTTTGCATTTAAAATAAAAGTATGAGTGAGGATCGGACAAATTCCTTGAAGTCTTATTCATAGAATAAAAGAAGAAAAAAAATAAAAAGAGAAAATAATCTTTTATATAATAATCATTCATTCTTTTTTCTTATTTTATTTCTCAATTTTTTTCAATGTACTTTCAGATGTTGTCATAGGTATTTATTCAAGTGGGAAGACAATTCTCACATTAATTAACTAAAAATGCAAACACCATTGAATACGCTCGACACACAAGAACCACTTGATTATGATAATTTAAATATAATAACACGTCCACGACCACCACGTCGACGTCAAAGTGGTGTTTCATTAGTACCATTTCGTCCATATGTTAAATGTTTACAAAGTGTAAGACAACCATATTCATTTGCAAATGGTTATGATAGATGGATGGTTATGGGTAGAAAT